CCCCCCCCCCCCCTTCCCATTTTCTGACTCTTTTCCCTTTCTTGTTGCCTCACATGGATCTCATGAGTTCCCGATTTAAGTCATTTGGCTTTAGGAACAAACATAAACCTCCTCCTAATTCCAACCCGATTGCCCCTCCCACCCCTAGTTCCCCACCCCCCTCCGGTCACAGTTCATCAACAACAAGTCTCCCAATGAACCACCAGCAGCCACAACAGCCCCAGTTAGGCCGACCGCCAAGTTACACAAACAACCGACCAACCAGTCCAATGGCGCATGGTCAACAACAGCCACCGCCCATTACTACAAACCTCCAATACAACTCAAATGCTCCCTTGAACGGACCACCCGGCTATGGCATGCAGCAGCAGCAGATGGCCCCGAGTGTTCCACCGTCACTGTCTAACACCCAGTATCCAGGGCGCAACCCTGCTGTCGAGGTCGAGGGTGGGGGTCGGAGCAAGGCCCAACTGATTGTCGGTATTGACTTCGGTACAACGTTCTCGGGTGTCGCATATGCATTTGCAACCAACAACCAAGCAAGCGAGGACATCATCACGGAATGGCCCGGCGCCGGAACCCACGCAAAACAAAAGGTGAGCATGACTCACAAGTATACTCCATGAACGCGAGTCTGACAACGGGCTTCTTTGCTAGATTCCTACCGTCCTCTACTACGACCAATACCAAAAGGTTGTAGGATGGGGCCCCGATATCGCCGACGCTCTCGCCCCGACCGGATACCCCAAGCCCCAAGTGCAAAAGGTCGAGTGGTTCAAGCTCCAGCTGATGCTCTCCGGAAACACCTATATTGATCCCATCAACCTGCCCCCCCTTCCCCCGGGCAAGTCCGAAATCGATGTCGCTGCCGATTACCTCTTCAAGCTACGACAAGCCATTCGCGCTCAGCTGCAAAAGGCTCTGGGGGAGGTGTTCACGCGTGAGGAACGTAATATCCGATACTACCTGACGGTACCGGCTATTTGGAACGACGCTGGCAAGGCCGCGACGCGGACCGCTGCTATTCAAGCTGGCTTCTTGCGCGACGAGAACGATAACCGTCTCACCCTAGTCTCAGAGCCTGAGGCAGCGGCCTTGTTCTGTGCCAAGAGTGGACTGCTCAACTTGAAGGTGGGCGACGCTATTTTGATTGTGGATTGCGGTGGTGGTACCGTGGATTTGATTGCGTACGAGGTTGAGGAAGAGCAGCCTTTCAGTGTGATGGAATGTACTGCCGGGTCTGGTGACTCGTGTGGTTCAACAGCACTGAATCGGAATTTCAGTAACATATTACGGGCGAAGATCCGTAAGATGAAGCTGCCAGATGGCTCTCGAACTGCGGGCAAGGTCTACGCGAAGTGTATCATGGACTTTGAGAACCGTATCAAGGCCGACTTCCGCAACAACGGGCAAAAATGGGCAGTGGATGTGGGTATCGAGGCCGACTTCCCCGATGCCGGTATTGAGGAGGGTTACATGACTTTCATGAACGAGGAGATCCTTCAGTGCTTCGAGCCTGTCGTGAACCGTATCCTCGAGTTGGTCCGCAACCAGATTATCGCCATTCAAGCACAGAACCGTCAGATCCAGGTAAGAGCATCCCAACCTAGTCTCCAGTGCAGAGCTAACAAGTTTGTAGAATGTTTTGGTCGTCGGTGGATTCGGTGCTTCAGAATACCTCTTCCAGCAGATCAAGCTCCACGTGCCCCCACAGTATCAGACAAAGGTGGTCCGCCCGATGGACTCTGTGGCTGCGATCGTCAAGGGCGCAGTCACCGCAGGTATCACCGAGCGGGTCATCACACACCGTGTAGCACGTCGGCACTACCTTATGGCCACGCTTCAGCCATTCAAGGAGGGCTATCACCCGGAACAGTACCGTGTGCCCAGTTTGGATGGCCGCGATCGATGCAAGTACACTCGTCAGATTTTCGTCCAAAAGGGAGAGCGTGTCAGGATTGGCGAACCAGTCAAGGTCAGCTTCTTCCGTCAAGTTGCGCCTGGCGCCACCCTCATGTACGAGGACGTGTTATACGCCTGTGACGAGGACGTCTGCCCCGAGTACACCAAGGATCCACGTAAGTTGAGAGTTTCCATTTCCCTTGTACAAATTACTAATACTTTCGCTAGGCATCAAGGAAGTTGTCACACTCACATCCGATTTATCACGCAAGAACCTCGAGACCGACTTTGAGCGCATGGACACACCCCAGGGCATCTTCTACCGTGTCTACTTCGATATCTACCTTACGCTAGACGGCAGTGAATTCAGCGCCGAACTTGTTTGCCAGAACGAGATCATGGGCCGCTGCCGTGCGAAGTTCCGTTGATCTCCCCTTTTTTTTCGCACACGGGAAACACATAAGAGAACACATACGCGCGCCATACATACATCCCTCCTGTACGAGGCCCATGACATCATCGGCGAACAGAGGTGTGGTCATGACTTAAGTTTTATTGCATTTCCCTCACGTTGGTCTTGAATCTGTGAACTGGTCAAATACCCCGAGCCGGATGATTGGGCATCACTGCACCGGCGAATAGGCGTTATCTGTGTTGATTCTTGGGGAATCCTGTGCCGTTCCTAAATATATGCCACAGGTTTGTGGAGCCATTTGTTTTGCCTACTTGTTTCGTTGGCGGTTCCTGTTCCTGTTTTTACCTTTTCTTCTTCTCTCCTTATTTTTTGTTTCTCTCGCCTTCTTAGATACCTCTTGACTGTCGTGTTTTGTTTGAATGATATTGACGAGCTGTGGTCCTCATCTGATTTATAATATCCTGCTCCACTTACATATTTATACCTCCATGTACTCATGACTATAGTCGATATGAAGCAGATGCCATGCCATCTAACCTATCATCAAGTTCATCCATTCACCGTATTTAATCTAGACAATTGAAGATTGTCACATCTCCCCATTTTTCAGATAGATAATAGAAAAGAATCAGAAAGAAGTCCCAAGAGACAAAAAGTAAGGGTGGTAATACATCCGATTCATCAAATCAAGTCTCCAGGTTAATGCTCCGACCAAACCGCGCATACAACGCAACCTTCAGCTCCTGCATTTCCTCGCGCAAGTCACCAAGCGTGTCCTCCAGCTTGGAGACATCTGCATCAATCTTCTCTGTTGATGTCGAGAGCATTCCCTGCGCGTCTGATAGCGGTAGTTGGAAGAATGAGTCGCCGATTTTGTAGCTGGAAAGGCTGTTAGTGATGATCTCCTTTCTTTCCTTGCTCTTTGACTTTTCGATTTCTTCGTAATATTCTTCAGTGGCAGAGAAGAGCCACAATGGAACATATGTCAAAAGTGAAAGAAAAGAAAAACGAGATGGCAAGAGGGTATTCCTTACGGCACAAGCTCATCTTCATCAGCAAGCTCCAACTCCATCGAAACTTCTTCCAAATCCTCCTTATCCTTCTATAAACCAGTTAGCAACATATCAAATTGAGAAAGGATCTTCAAAAATCAAAACTGCATACCTGCTTCCCCTTCAACTGCTCCTCGAGCACAGTCTCGCGCTGATGCAACCGACTGAACCGGTTAATCTTCTCCTGATCCTCACGACGGACTTCATTTTCATCATTGGCAGACGTCTCGTCCGCTTTTGTGAGCTGCGCGTTGGTCCGGTTAGCTTCAGAGCTGGGCTTTGGCGGGGTTTGTCGCGGTTGAGCTTGGTGGGGGTTGACTTACCATACGTGGCTGCACCATTTTGACTGTCTTGTGGAGGGGTATTGGGTTGGTCTTCAGGGATTTGTCTGTTCTTTTGTGTTTGGGATTTGTTTTTGTCCTCGTTGCGGGTTGGTTAGTTGGCGGGTTTGATATCGGGTTTGAGTGGGTGGTCCGTGCGTGGCGATGAGATGAGTGTTGATATTTGTACGTGGGAGACGATCTATACAGTGTACATATATATACAGAGTGTAAGGTATTATTAGGCTGTGTTTCTGCTTCTTTCTCAGATATATCAGTTCTTCTACTTTGCTTATATTCTTCTTTACACCCATATATCGAGTTGGGTAGGCCATTGGGTACTTGGGTGACATCATAGTAGCTATTACTTTCTATAAAAAAAAACGTAAAAAACAATCAATTATGATAAAAGTCCTTAAAACTCCAGAAATAGTTACAAATACCTCGAGGCATCTTCATTTCGAGTTGAGTGTAGGCATCACCTTTTAGTGCCAAAACACCGCCACCGGAGAAACGAAACACCTCCGCAGGAACCCCGTCATCGTCACCTTTCAACTTCACAGGGACCACCTTCGAACCAGGAGGTAACCAGGTAACCAGATATCTCCAATTTCGGTTTAACTGTACTGGTCACACTTGTCCTGTGTAAACTTTGTCCTCGTGACCATCTCCACCTGAGCTATCGAGCTCCATCCCGCGCAAAAGCCTCATCCCAGCTTTCATCCGTCGATCCACCCGACCCTTCGCGATCCAGCCAGCGGCACATTCATCAAAATGCGAATACAATCAAGCGGAGTTTCACTCCTCCTCTCCACCTTCCTATCAAGCCTGGCATCCGCATCCGGCTTCGACTGCGCGCACATCAAGCTCGACAATTACAAATACGATCTCAGTCCCCTAAAAGGTGTCCACGAGTTGACTCACAGCGTGACCACGGATGACTTCGTGACGAATACAACCTACCGATTGAATATCTGTAATATTCTCGGAGGTGCTGCCCGGTACGGCGATGCGACGTGCGGAACTAGCAAAAATGGTACGTGCCAGGTCGACATGACGCGACCATGTTGAAGTGGTCTTCTGCCTGGGGATTATCACGCTAATTGATGTATCGTTTTAGTTTGCGGATTCGTGCACCGAACAGCTAAGGACGGAAATGGTGGCTCTACATTCGGCTTCCCAATCGTCGGCCTTGACCCCGTTGGCCAGGGCTCCAAGAACCCAGAGCTGAAGCGATTGAAGGATATCGACCCGGAAACCGAGGGTCTGCGCGTTAAGCTGGAAGGTGGCTCATACAAGGGAGATGGCAATGACCAGAAGGCCAAGAAGGCAGGCGCTATTATTGAGTTTAAGTGCGACCACGAGCGTTCTGGACTGGAAGGCGTGCATACGCTTGAAGCGGACCCGGAGACGAAGGAGCGACGACGGAGAGCGGAGGGCGAGGAAGGTAGTGCGCCGTCGGGCAACAGCAGCAGTAGTCTGCAGTTCAAGAGCTTTGGTCCGTCGGATGATGATACCTACATACTGAGACTGGATTGGCGCACAAAGTACGCCTGCGACGAGTACGAGAAGGAGAAGGGCGATGCTCCCAGCTCTAACAGCTGGGGTTTCTTTACCTGGTTGATTATCATGTGAGTTTTTCTTATTCCTGCTTCCACATTGAAACACCCTGCTAATAATCCCATCCAGTGCCTTCCTCTGCATCGCCGCCTACCTCATCTTCGGCTCCTGGCTCAACTACAACCGTTACGGTGCCCGTGGCTGGGACCTGCTCCCTCACGGCGACACCATCCGCGATATCCCCTACCTCTTCCAGGACTGGCTCCGTCGGGTGGTCAATACTCTGCAAGGAGCGGGCTCACGGGGTGGTTACAGTGCGGTATGAAGGAAATTGGCTTGGATAGATTGGTTCCTGTAGTTGTTTGTACTTTTGGATGAAGATACAATCCATATGTATCTTCTTTTTCTTACTAGGCTGTTTCAGCCGGGGGTTCAATGCCTTGCTTGCAGGTAGTCTGCAAATGCAAGTTTCCTTGATAAGTTTGTATGGTGCTAGATGAGGAGTTTATATGCTTGGCCATAACGAATTATATGATTTCAAGGCCAGTTATTTGGATCTACGCGTTCTTGACGCTAGAAGTTGTTTGAGTTTTTAGAATATTGAAACCTAGGCTCTATCATTTCTTAGATGCCGGTGAGGATTGCTATTTAATAGCCTAGCTGTTTAGGCCCTCTATGGCATTGTTTCCTTTCTTCAACCTCTGACAGCTGTGTTCCATCAACGTCTCTACGCTGGGCTGGACAGTCACTATATAAATACTTGGGTTGGATCTCTCCTTCCTATATTCATTCAATTTCATCTATTTACATCTTCAGAGTGCCCTGGAGTATGTTGCTAATCCCACACGATAAACGTATATATCTAGAGCAGCCAAAGACAGACTAGGCACATCAGCGACGGGCCAGCTAGCAGTAAGTGTGTCGCAACAACCTCACAAGCAAGCTTTTACCAACGATTATGTTAAGCAGGCTTCTGTGATCGGCGCAAGCATCTGCGAGATCCATCATCATGGTTTGTCACATTTATCTACCTTTACCGCTGGAGAAATGTCAAGACCTCCCATTTTATTCCATTCTTATCGTCAAGTTGGTAGGATGTCTTGAAATTCAAGTCTATAGCTTCGCTAGAACGCTTGGGGATGCGCGAAGCCCAGACAAGCAGTCCTGAGTTACTGCATGGGCAACAAAGGGAGAACCGCCGTTGCTGATTGCGTGCCTCAGTCACTGTGGTTGATTCTTGCTCTCTGGCTGCTAATTTCCACGAAATGCCTCGACTTTTATCCACCCTCGCTCTTGTGAAGACCGTTTATGGCTACTCACCAGACATCAAAGAGGTCTTCAATGCCTTTTCATCTTGCTGAGATGGTAGGCAGGCCAAATGGATGGTATTCTAAATGGTTACAGCCATAGACTGATTTACCTTTCGACCCTATGGCCTAAGCGGAGCAGTCAGAATGGCAGCCAGCAAGTTCGCGGGGGTTGTCATCAATTGTTGACCACAAACTTGGTGCAAAACGCGAATGCTCAAGGGGCCACCACTAAGGTCGAGTTTATTGGTGCACGGAAGAACAAGATGCCCTTTGGAGTTATCATTGGCCCGAAAGGAAATACCGATTGTTTGCCAGTGATGAGTGTGAAGTATATAGTCAATCAACATCCTCCTTTCCCATGTTAGTCGACTTTATTAGAGCATGGACAGTACCACACCTTAAGGCCCTGCATACTTCCCAATTTGGAAATAGCTATATGGATATTAGGCGTGCCTTCCTACTTGGTTTAAAACCTATTGCTTATATTTTGCGCAAATGCCTCGTCAACAGCCACACTACAGAAAGCTTTGTCCATGACCCCTTACCCATTAACAAGCTCAAGACTTGGCATTTCATCGAAAAGACAAGCCCAGTGCCAAGACTGTAACGAGACTGCTCCACCCTTGATCGACTCTTCACCCCCCCCAATCCGGTAGTCCCGACCGATATTCGGACTCCGAGGACGTCCAACGGATTTCAAGATTTCGCTGTTGGACATGCAGAAAGAGGAAGTTTTTGCTGTGTGCCAAACCAATGGTAATAGTTGCCAAGCCGGGGAATTGAGTCGGCCGGGGACCTTCCAAGCTTGAAATTCCGGTGGCTTATATTGGCGAACGAAATGAGCGGAGTTACCTGGGTCAGCAGGATATTGAGTAAGACCAGAGGCATTTCCAGTGCGGATTTACTTGGCATTCTGTTTTTCGCTCCGATATCCGAGCACTATTTGACATCTCCAGAATTGGCAATTGTGCGTGAAAACTGCGGGATCGACTCGGCATACAGCATACCTCGATGTTGTTGTAAGTGTATCTAGGCGCATCAGATGTACGACCAATGTCCAGATAAGATATATCACGGTCCTAACTAGGTTCGACAATAATGCTACCGGTGACCAGCGGAAAAGACTTTCTCCATCCATATCAAGCCACGGTGATCATTGCCTTCTTTCGAGTCTTGCAAGTTGCAGCTTCACTTGATAAGACCAATCAGATGAAGGGTTAATATTGTACAAGACTCCTCAGTGGTCAGTCGCTAGCTTGCTTCATCAGATAAGATGAAGGCCCGCTAGTAATGCGGACTTCATTACGCGAAGGTGGGCCTGTCGGAGGAAAGAATTGGATTACAACCCTGGATGGAAATGATCGGTCCTTCAGGCATTTCCCCCCTGCAGAAGTTTTATGTATAAGTATAGCAGTGCCAGAAAATAACGGGATTCGGTAATTGAACTGTTGTGGTGCGCCCATTTCCTTTCACCATGCGTTTTTCCACTTCAGTTGCCCTGCTGGGCCTTGCCTTGCAGCCGGCTTTGGCTCTTTGCCCATATGCAGAGCAGATGAACCTCGAAAAGAAGAGCACGCCTCCACCGCATGAGCACACACCGCGCAAGGCACCCTCCGACAAGAAAGGCATCTTTTATATGAACCGCATTGCTCCTGGGACATCGGAGCTGTATATTGCCAACGTCGATGGCACCGATGAACGTCCTCTTCTCTCCAACCCTATCTACGAATACCACCCCACATTTTCCCCCGATGGAGAATGGATCACCTTTACCGGAGAACGAAACGGCGATGGTAATTCGGATATCTACCGCGTCCGGACAGACGGGTCTGACCTTGAGGAGTTGGTAGCAACCTCCTCGGTGGAGGACAGCGCTGTCATGTCTCCGAATGGAAAGCAGATTGCCTATGTGTCCACTGCTAATGGCTACAAGGCCAACATCTGGGTCATGGATCTGGAGAGTGGCAAGAAATGGAATCTCACAGATACCGTCTCGACCGCCGCTAATGATTCTCTTCCTAATGGTTACTTCCGCCCCGCGTGGTCTCCCGACGGCCAATGGATTGCTTTCTCGTCGGATCGTAACTCGGGCTGGTACGGACATGGAGACCCCATCTTCCAAGGTGTGACCGGCTGGGAACATACCCAGGAGCTGTCCATCTACGCTATCCGCCCCAATGGGTCTGATTTCCGTCCCGTTGTGTCGAAGTCAGGTTACTGCCTCGGTTCGCCAAAGTGGTCGCCTAATGGCGAGCGTATTCTCTTCTATGAGATGACTCGCGAGAATACCTGGAACGCTCACCGTCCCGAGTCACTCAACTCCGCCAACTCCACTCTCGTCTCGGTGAAGTTTTCCACAGGCGCTGACCGTCGCGTGGAAGTCGAAGGAGCAGGCGTGAAGACCTTTCCTCAATACCTTCCTAACAGCACTGTCGCCTACTTGGCCAAGGGTTCCGGCATCGAAGGATTCCACACCACTGCCGGTGGGTATGTAAATACTTCCAGCGAGGTGATCCGCTCTCCTGCCTGGTCCACAGACGGCAAGAAGGTCGTCTATGAAAAGACCGCCTGGACTATCCGTCCTATGGACAAGAAGCTGTATAGTTGGGACTCGGAGTGGGAATACCGCTTTACAGACGTCTTCCCGCAGCTTTCGAACACCAACAAGATCGCTCTGACCGAGAAACAGCTTGGAAACTCTTCTGTTGTTTCCTTCAACGCCAATGGAACCAATGAGAGCCTCATTTACAACGACATGGAATCCAGCTTCATTGATGCCAGCTCAGTCGCCATGGGCACCGCAGGCGCCTTTAACCCGGCCTGGTCATCCGATGGCAATTGGGTCACCTTCGGAGTAGGCTTCTGGTTCCAAGGTCGCGCAACTGGCGGCGGCTGGCTTGTACGAGCCACTGCCAATGGCACATACTCTGAAGTCCTGACCGAGAGCAACACAACCCTCAGCAGCAGCGTGATCAACTCTGGCTTCCCCAGCTTCTCGCACGACGGAAAGAAGATTGTCTTCCGTATTTGGGGAACAAACTCCACTATGGGCGACAGATCCCAGCTCGGACTCCGTGTTCTAGATCTGGAGACTCGAAAAACCTCTGTTTTGACCACCGAGTGGGATAACCTGCCTTCCTTCTCCCCCGATGGAAAGAGAATCGTCTTCACTCGCAAGACCAGTGATTACAATTACGATGTCTGCACTATGCGTCCTGATGGAACTGATGTCAAGGTTCTCACTAGCAGTGGTGCCAATGATGCTCACGCCGTCTGGACCTGGGATGGTCGCATTGCCTTCTCTTCTGGCATGTTCGGCTTCCAGTATGAGTGTGCTCTCTATGATCAGACGTTCCAGCCTTATGGTCAGATCATCGTTATGAATGCTGATGGCTCGAATAAGCGTGTGCTTACTGATTCTATCTGGGAGGACTCGATGCCTCTCTACGTCCCGAACAGTGCACTCAAGGCTAGCGCCAAGGTTCACAAATAGGGCGCGCAGCACTGCGTCAGACGGCCATGCTGTTGGATTGACCTTTTAATCAACAATTTTGGCACTTGAAAGAATACAATTCTCATATTTGTACATCAAGTCATATGTTGGTACCTCGAAAATCTTATGATTCTGTTAACGGGAATGTTAGTAATGACTGTTCGGCTGGCCATTGTAGGTCCTGTAGCCCTTACCTCGGGTCTTGTATTTCGCGTCGGAGTGCACAGAACACTCTTTTCAATGCATCTAGGCAGCGGTAATAAGTGATGACTGGGGCTACCAAACTAAAGGGAAGGGAAGCATCTGAAGTTCTTCTGAAAGTCCTTCGACCGCATAATTTATCACAAAGCATCCCAGTCTTTGGAACGATAGGTGGAACTGGAGATACATAATATGTGGTTTCTTCCTTGGGTATCATGAACCCTCCACCAACTTCAGACCAGTGCTCGTTTGATCATTCTTACCGTTTGCGTGGGAGCTCTGTTCAATGACGTATTTTAAGGTCTCACATAGGTATCTTACAGTCTAATTGAAGGAGAGGAGAATATAACGGAGCCAGAGGTAGTGGATAGGGTAAATTGGCGGTGTACCATTCCGAGACTGATAAGCCTTCAGGGCACTCAACGAAGGATGTTAGTAGCGGCCATCCTTAGGCAACGAAGAATCCATATTCTATTTACTGGACACGTAAGAAGTAAAGGGAAAGGATGAAGATGAGGAAAGACTGTCTTATTAATGTGGCCTAAATAGGAAGGAACTGCCCAGGCGGGAAGTAAATATCAAAACATCAACCTCAGGCTCATACTATATATCATACGTGAAAATAATAGCCTTAAGAATAGTCACTACTTGTATTGTAAGCCAACTAAAATAAACCAGCAAATAACAATAACATTGAAGAAGAACAAGTGCAAAGATCGTCATCATCAACCAATCCCCGTGGAGGAGATGGCGCCATCCGGACTAAATCGTTCTCATGTCTCACAGAGAGAACAAGAAATGATATGGCGTAAGGTGCCCCTCGGCTCCCCTTTTCTTCCTTTCCTTTCTCATTTCACACATTTCTTGAGCCTTTTGCGCTACAGACGACTCACCAATCTCCTCTTCTAAACCTTCACGGCGAATGACTTGAGGTACAGGTAGTCGGCCATGTTGGCATCAACTGTCTGGCGGATGAGAGCAGCTTGCTTCTCACCGTACTTCTTCTGCCACTCGGCGTCATACTGCTCCTCGGTCTTGACAGCGCGTTTCTGAAGAGTGTTAGCACGAAGTCCCCAATACTGTTGCATCCTCATTTCACCAGAATGAGGCATTAAAAAACTTACATGAGTTCTCTGCACTAGAGCCTTCGACTCAATGGCATCGTTATGGAACCCACGCCACTTCTCGAACGCATTCCGAGCAACAGCATGTTCCTCCTCCGTATCCCACGTCAACATCTCCGGGCGGTACGGCAGACCAGTACTGTTACAGAAAGCCTCGATGGTCTTCGCCGGCTCGTCAAGCATATCATCCGCATCGATGACACACACCTCGACACCAGTCGTCGCCTGCACATCATCAGAGGCGTTCAACTCCGGGCGCGTTGCAACCCGCGGCCCGACCAATCCACTCTCGCGCAGATAATCGAAGTGCCGACGCAGCTCGTCGTACCCGGCCTCGAGCGGGTCGTAGTTGTGGAACCCGGTCACCTCGTCCAGAGGTGGGATCGTGCACCGCAGGTACGACGGCACGCTGTAGTGCGGGTCGCGGATTAGGAACGCCCAGTGGAACTGCTCTTGCAGCTCATGAGGCATCACGGTTGGGTTGCCCGGCTCTGTGGGCGTGTCGTACGGGTACGGTTCCTTCGAAGTTCCATTGGTGTGGCCATTCATCTCGTGACCGTTTACACCGTTGGCCGTGCCGTTGGTACCGTTCAAGGCTCCGTTGACCCCGTTGGTGTGACCATTTGTGGCGGAGTGGCCGTTGGTGGGAGTAGTGCCGTTGGCACCGTTCACACCGTTAGCCTTGTGCGAATCGCCGTTGGTACCGACTCCTCGCTTAATGCGCAGTAGAGACGGGGCGATACTGGCGGGCTGGCCATTCGGTGGAAGCAGGTAGTGGTCGATATCTTTGATGAAGACTCTCTTTCCCTGTGACAAGGTAAGTATCACCTCAAAAAGTGCAAATATTCCATTCCGCCGCGTGGAACTCCATGGTCTTTCAGTATTTCGAAGCCAGTCGGTGATCTACAGTTTGTAGAGGGGAGGGGGAACAGATTGCCTCGGGCTATATCTGCGGTGCAAAATAACAAAAAATGTGAACAGGTAAGCAATCTGCCTTCATGTTTGATCCACAGAGGAGAACATGAAGACAATTACGAGGGGGATGGGTAAGAACGCGAGAAATTTCGCAGAAAGGAGGGTCGGACCTGAGTATTTTCTCGCTCCACCCTTTCCATCACGGTTCTATATGTCGAATTGGCGAATCCACTATCCAGACGTGCTTGTGCATGTTCATCGCCTGCGAATCGACTAGAGAGTCGCTCCGGGCCGTAGTAGAATGCATCGCCGAACGGCTCATGGACACATTGGATAGTATCACGTTGAGTCATGAAGACCTGTAGTTCGTTAGATATGTGTTTGGAATGAAATTCTTTTATCAGAATCTCTCAGGATCTCTCAGGATCTCTTACTCGCTCAAAGGCTGTCGAGCATGCTCGCGGATGCGTAGCCACAAAGATCGGCTTGCCTGACATTCTTGTATGCCGTACAATATTTAATATTGATAGAGATAAAACTGCAATCTGCAATCTGCAGGCTCTGTCTCAGGTAAAATCACGAAAGGTAATCGTAAATAAACTTGCAGTGGATCAAGCCTCTGATCAATTAAAGCAAGGATAATTCAAATCCCGCCGTTGAAGCTGTGGCGAGACAGAAATTTTCTGATTTGAGTGGCGGCTCGAGTTCTTCACAAGCGTCCTATGCTAGCGAATGTGAAAGCTTCTTGGTGGTCTCAGCTGCAATCACTATGGCGTGAGAATAATGAAAAGGGAAGGGGGGCTAAAACTCTTTATATGAACGAATGACATAGGTACCAGGGTTTAATAACCGTTTCCCTTTTTATTTTATTATTTTTTTCAGGCCTCGGGAGGCGGAGAGGTACCAGAGTTGGCTGTTACTTTCACCCATGGGAAAGGGAAGGAAAAATTAGGTAAATTATGGATATCCAGGTATTTAGGAGGAGGGAGATCTACGAATTAGCCCCAAGACTTTACACATAGTATAGCAGTATGATTCCTTCTCGTAGTATATAGTAAGTAGTATTGTCCACTCCGTACTCCGTAGTGGTATTCTATATAGAATTAGTACATGTAGTACTGCTTACCTGCCCACAATGTACATATGGAATCCAAAAGTCTCGCAGCTGTGTCCAGCATACCTTCTAGGCAAGGGCCGGAGAAGTAACTCGGAGAAGCAATATCGAAATAGTGAACGCCATAAAGCCTCTCGCCCCTCCCTGCCCCGCAGCAACCTTTCCGCTTCTATATTTTCTCTCCCCTCTCCAGCCTAGCAGACACAAAACAAAGTAAAAGAAAAGTCCAGAGGCCACCTCCCGTGATGAAACGGCCAATAGAAAAAGGACTGGTGGGCAGTTGTGTGGATCGATCTTCAATTCTGGATGCGCCAACCTGGAACAAGTGTCCACCGTCCACGGTCCAGTCTTCTCTTAGCTCCTCAGCTGAGACGGACACTCCTCTTCCATGCAGCCCGGTGAAAGTTGGCTTCCCAAACGGTGATGATTCCAGTCGAGAACACAGAGAAACCGTATATAAAAATCCCTCGGCTTAATTTGAGTAGATACATGCAGGGGGTCTGATCCTGGGCAAGGTTCGAGATCGATTTCTTCGAATTCTGATTGCTCTGTGTATATCCCACCTGACGTCATTCACTAGGTATGGGATATTTTCTGTCGGCTATCGTGGAACATGATATAAAACGTAAGCGACGCATGGATGAAGGTAACCCGTAGACTCGAGCTATGTATATATGTTGTAGTGCCTGGGCAGGCGTCAGTGGCACATTGTAAAATTCAACATACAGTAGCTTGTTCACATCTTGATTTTTGCGGGTAAGAGGAGCCGGTGGAACTGGGTTGTTTCAGTGCTCCACTGCAAGGCACGCAAGCTCAAGGTGGCATCAACACCGAATCATCTCTCTGACGTGGGGAGCCTGGACAACCAAGGGTTATGGTTTGTTGGTTTGCGCGATTTAATCCGAGGTTGCTGACCTCATCTCGGAACGGGTAGGGATTAGGTCAGCAAAATACTTGGCACGTGATAGTCACGTGCACCTCACGTGGCATAGGTTTGATACGTCTGTGGTCCCGAACGGAAGTTAGGGCCTAGTATATATGCCGCTGCAAAGACAAACAGAGGTTCTGTTTGTCCTTAACGTATTTCACAAGCTAGTGGCCACCATAAGCTAGTGGCCACCCCACCAAAAAACGCGTCAATTAATTTAACCCTTTCTTCTTCAACCATCCACCATGCCACCAATTCGCTCTCAACGCTCTACAAATTCAACTGAGTAAGAGGGTAGGCTTTTATTAGCTATCTAGGCTATTAAAAATAGAGATATTATATCTATTGCTCTTACTGCTCGTACCTATAAAGTCCCGCGTATAACTCTCCGCCACCGGCTTAGTGGTATATAATACCGCGCGATTTCTCGCGCTAACTTACGCAAATTAATATAAATTAAGGAGGAATCTCTTAAAAAATGGATTCTCTCTATAGATTAATATAGAGTAGCCCCCCGGCCCTTTATAGTACGAGAAATAGTAGATCTTCTACTTTAAAAGTATAGAACTACCTTAGTTCTTTCGGTTAGTAAAAATTAGGTTATAAATTTTATTAAAAGATACCCTCTTTTATCCTCTTAGTTTTTAAAATAGTATAACTATAAGCGTATAAAATATAAAGATCCTAAGATTATTATTAAGTGGTTTAATCTAGTTTAAAAGATAATTATTTAATTTAGAATTAACCCTAATAATATTTATAACTTTAATAAGATTAGTTTTATAATAGGATTAACTATAACTATAAAGGTTATTATAAGGAGTGAATATTATAGTTAGAGGCTAGTTTTATAATCTAGAAATTATAAATAGATAATAGTTATTAAATATATAAATACTTCTAGATAGGCCCTTTTTTTATATATAATTTTTAAAAGTAAAGTCTTTATTAAATTATAGATTAATAGCCTTTTAGGGGATTAGCGCTTTAAAGTTAGTCTTAATAACTAAACCTCTAATAAGATTAAACTTTATTAGCTTAAGAAGCTCTTTATTCTTAGTACTTTATATATTAAGGGGGTATACTAGCTTTTAATTTTTAATAGTTATAGAAGTTATTTAATACCTAAATTTAATAAAATTTATAAGTAAAATAAGGTAATACTAATCTATATACTAGTATATTTATCTTATCTTTTATAACCTTTAGATATTAGTTATTTTATAGTATTAAAATATATATATAGCTAGATAATTAAATCTAAAATATAGAATAGGATTAATTATATTAATAAACTTAACTTCTTTAAAGTATACCCTCTTATATAAATTAAAGCTTTTAAATTAGAGATAATTAAGAATAGCTTTATAGTAGCTAGTTTAGTCCTTTTTAAACTAGAGAGAGTAATCTTAAAGCTTAATATTTAGCTTTAAATACTTACCCCCCCCCCTAGTTAGGGAAGTAAATTAAATTATAATTTTATACTAAAAATACTAGTTATAGAGAAAGATCTATATTATTAAGCTTTATTAATTAAAGCTTTACTTTATATAAGATTTTAAAGCCTACCTAGCCTATTAGATTATATATTAAACTAGCTTATAAAAGGCTTCTATCTTATAATATAAGGTACTATCTAGACCTGGCAGTGACCCTCCATTTAGACCCACCAAGACGCTAAGGAGGGTCCAAAGTC